CCCCTAAATCCTCACCCCCAAACCCTAAAAATCCGAAACCCCAAAGCCCCAAAACCTCCTGGGTAGTTTTCCACATTAGGGTACCTTTTTAGGTCCCCAATATAGTACGGCACCCTTATTAAAAGGACCTTCAAGGGGATCCGAATTTTGCCCATTTTGTGTTTAGAACCTTAATCCGTGAGTACTCGACCGTACTCACGAACCCAACTCTGACGCCCCGAATTTCCCAAAGAGTGCTTCGTCAACCTGAAACTCAAGCTTACCCTGAACCCTAAACCCCTAAGCCCTCCTTTCAACCCTAAACCCTAAACCCTGAATCCTAAGCCCTCCTCTCAAGGTTCGGCTTCTTGGGCTTCCTATCCCTTGGGAACAAGATGATCGCCGAGTTCGTGCTGGCTGCCGCCGCCGAGCTGAAGCAGGTGCGGGCCTTCCGGTTGATTAAGGGGGGGGAGGCTTCGGCTCATGGATACTATTTTGGGGGTTCCTTGTTGTAGTTATAGTAGAATAAGAACAGACCCCAAAACCCTACTCTAATTATTAAGGCCCATGGTTTAAAGGCCTAGGGTCTAGGGTTTAACCCTACACCCCTAAACCCTAAAACCTAAACCCTAAACCCTGGGGTTTTCGGGGTTGCGGGTTTACGGACTTTGGGATGGATGTACTGGGGGATTTAAGAATGCTCGGGATCAGGGTTTAGGGGTTTAGGGCTTCGGGGTTTTGGGTTTAGGGCTTAGGGGTTCAGGGCTTAGGAGGTTTAGGGTTTAGGGGTTTAGGCCGTTCCAAGGCCTTTGGAGATGTCAGTCGCGGTTTCGAAGGGTTAGGGCTTGAGGGGTTTACTTGGAGGATCATGGGACTTAGTAACTAGGGTTCCTTAAAGGGGTCCTTAAAGGGATCTATGAAAGTTCTATAAGGGGGGGTTTAGGGTTACTTGGAGGATCATGGGACTTAGTAACTAGGGTTACAAATGAGGTAGCTCTACTTATAGGAAAGTAAAACCCCAATTAAGATACTACTTACTAAGTCCATCTTAGGCCCATGATCCTCCCGGTCGGCATCATGACTTGTGCAGTCTTGCTCGGTTCTGGGCATGGAGGGTTTGACCCTGACGGTCCAAGTTCGCAAGTAGGTCCAAGTAGACAAATAGCAGGGTTTCAGGAACTAAAAGCCCATTCCTCTAAACCCCTACTATTTGGGTACTTGGACCCTTTGGGTTAGGGTTCATTCTTTGCGGGATGAAGCACTTAAGGGTTTAGGTTTAGGCTTTAGGGTTAAGGGTTTAGGGATTAGGGTAGGAATCCTAGGCTCGGTATGCCCCTGAGCTCACATGCAACCCTCACGGCTGCGATGAACTGACACATGAACCATTCCGCAGTCTTCCCCGCTACCCCATTCCCAAAACCAGTGCTGGTTGCTCAACTACCCTGAGCCGTGTGAGAAGCTTGCTGCCCGCGCTAGCCTGCACCTAAACCCTGAACCCTAAACCCTAAACCCTAAACCTGCACCACAGAGGCTCGCGCTCAAGCACTGAAGCAATCGAGCTTAAGCAGGAGCAGCAGCAGGTCTGTGTCCTTCTGCTTTGATGATTCCCCCACCCGGGCAGCCAAGGGGCTAGGGGCTGGAGGATGACTTGAGCCACAGAAGCGAAGTAGATATCATCGCAGTTTCATAGCCGCAGTTGGGAAGGTACAAGTCTTTAACAGCTCCGGGACCTTGTTAGCCACGCCAGTTCCAGCTGCAGGGAGGTGCAAGAGGCCCTCACCTTTGCAGTGTACAGCGGGTTCACGTGCGGCTATTTACTTGCAGACTTGCGCAATCGCGCCGTCATGGGATGGCTTGGCCCCCTGCAAGTTGTTTGTAGAACGCGCCTTTGTAAATGTCGCGATTGGTACTGCTCAAGGCCAAGTTTGTGACAGTATGTTCTAGTAATTCTAGTATGTTACATATGTTACAGACTTTATCATGGTATGTTATAGTCTGTTAAGCATATGGGTAGTTGTCAAAATTATGGTCCCTTTTGGGGTACCCCAAATAATAGGTGCCGTATTAGAATAAGGACCCAAAAAGGGACCATAAATTTGACAACCACTCATATATTGTAGTATATTTTGTACCCTAAACCCTAAACCCTAAACCCTAAACCCTAAACATTTTGTACTTGAGCCATTTTGAAGCTGCGGGCTGCCACTAGACAGGCTCCGACTTTTCAATCGGAGCTGATGGAACCGAGCTCAACGAAAGCTTGCCGTTCTTTAAGAAAAGAGAAGTGAAATACCCGGGTTTAGGGTTCTGTCGGCTTTGGAGTACCATACTTTAATACTTTTTTGGGGGAACCTGCTCCTTAAAGGAACCACTATAAAATAAAAGTCTACAAACCCTAAACCCTAAACCCTAAACCCCTAAACCAAAGCCCAGGGTTCTGTCCGGGCGAAGTGCCCAAGGACATTGCAAATTGCAAACACGTGCCCAAGCCAGCTTTGAGTCGACGTAACATAGGGGCCTTAACAATTAGCTTAGGGTTCGGGTTTAGGGTTTAGGGTTTAGGGTTTAGGCTTGAGGGTTGTCCTAAATCTTTCTAAGCCCCCCTCCAAAACCCTAACCCTAAAGCCTTAGCCCCTAGACTGCCCCTACAACCGCTAGGCTCAGCTTCGAACTTGCGCTGCAGGTGATCTGCGCCTCAAAGTACCTATTTAGGAACCCCTTGCAGGCCTGAGTATACTCTACCCTCAACCCCAAACCCTAAACCCAGAATCTAACCTTAAAGGAGCAATTTAAGGCACTCTTATGGACCCTAAACCCTAAACCCTACCCTAAGCCCTTATGCACATGGCCCGCCTTAGCTGCAGGTGATCCAGTTAATGGACAGGGAGTTGGCCTTGGCAGCGAACCTATCGCCCTCGCCCCGGTTTAGTTTAGGGTTTAGGGTTTAGGGTGTTCCTTTGGGAGATGAGGGTAGAACGGCTTAGGGTTGAGGGTTTAGGGCCTTGCTAAGTTTGGGGGATAGACGAAGAGAGCCCACTACTTCTCTACCCCTTCGAGAGCGTTATACCCCTTGAACTACGGAAAGGCCTGAGAGGCCTGACTATCTACTCCTTCCAAATTTGAAGCTCACCTTTAAACATGGAGGCATGTCTAGGTTTGGGCACCCTAAACCCTAAACCCTAAACCCTAAACCCTAAACCCTAAACCCTGAACCCTAAACAGGTATCCCGGGCTCGTCTCGTCCGGCCTCTGGGGGCTGTTGCTGGAAAGAAAAGCACACAGAAGATTGGGTTTAGGGTATAGGGTTTAGGGTTTAGGTTTAGGCCCGAAGATGAGTACTGTAGAGGCCTAAATACTTACCGATATTAGTTTAGGGGGCTCCTTACTATGATTATATTATAAAGGACCCCAAAGCCCTATTCCAATTATTGAGACCCCTATTTTGAGGTTTAGAGTTCAGAGGTTCGTTTGGGTGGCTTGGCCTGCGGCTTAAAGTGGTGCTGAGAGAAGACAGGCCTTCTGCAGACTAGGGGTGCTAGGGTTTAGGGTTTAGGGTTGGCGTTTAGGGTTTAGGGTTTAGGGTTTAGGGTTTAGGGTTTAGGGTTTAGGGTTTAGGGTTTAGGGCTTAGGGTTGGCGTTAACAGCTCATCGCCACAGCACGATGCACTCGACACGACCTTGATCGACGATACTGCCGCCTGCTCGCCATGCCACAGCAAACCGTAAACCCTAAACCCAGCATCCCATCAGTTCTCTAAACCCTAAACCCTCTTTTTCTTTGTCCGGCCCTCCAACCTCCGGATGCCGAGATACCGTTACCATGATGAGCCCTTCGAGGAGCAGTTGACCGGTGAGTTCGTGTGGAGCCAAGAGCCAACCAAGAAAAAGTAGAGCTTTGGGGTTTGGGGTTTGGGGTTTACGGAGTTTAGGTAGTGTTTTGGTAGGGCTTAGGGGGTTTAGGGAGTTGAGGGCTTTGGATTTGGGATTTAAGCGTGTGCGGGTTTAGGGTTAAGGGCTTAGGTTTCATTGATAAGGGTTTAGGGTTTAGGGTTTAGGGTTTAGGGTTTAGGGTTTAGGGTTCAGGAGTTCAAAGTACAAGTTTGGGGATGTGTGGACAACCTTGGCGCTTCATGCCAACACCTCGCCCGAAGCCCACCTAAAGGCTCCATTGTAGTTCCTTTTTGGGGTTACCTTATAGAATTCTTAATATAGAATTGGTTAAACCAAAACAAGGAACTACAATGAAGACCATAGGTACTGTGTATTAACGTGTGAGACCGAAAAAAGGCTGCCAAGCCCCAATTTCTTTTCTTATCCTCCGTGGACTGAGGTATTTCAGGCACCCTGGGAATCCCCAACGGAGCGGGGCTGAGCTTCAAAAGCTAAGCCAACGGAGCCACTGCCTGGATGCATCAGAGCCCAAAACCCTAAACCCTAAACTCTAAACCCTAATCCCTACATCCCTAAACCCTAAACCCTAAACTCTAAACCCTACTCCCTAAATCCCTAAACCCTAAACCCTAAACCCCAAACCCCTAAACCCCAAACCCTAAACCCCTAAAGAGCCCATGGAGCTTTTGCCACTTTGAGTGTCCTGTCGCTCCCAACCCTGCAAGGTGAAATGAATCCTGAGGGTTTAGGGTTTTAGGGTTTAGGGTTTAGGGTTTAGGGTTTAGGGTTTTAGGGTTTTAGGGTTTAGGGTTTAGGGTTTAGGGGTTTCGGGTTTAGGGTTTTAGGGTTTAGGGTTTAGGGGCAAGAGTTTTAGAGTTTAGTTTAGGGGTTGAGGGGTTTAGGGTTTAGGGACCCTGCAAGGCGTGGAATTCTGAGGCAGCATAAAGCATCAGAACGCATCAGATGTCGCAAAGATCCAGAGTACTATCTCTCTTCAAACACCCATGTCCAAAACAGCCATAGTGTCATGGCGACTCCTTACATCTTTTCTTTTTTTGAAAATTTATACCTCCAAGAGCCATAGAGACTCCACATACGGGAGTCTCCGAAAATAATAGGTATCTTCTGTTGGGGTCCTTATAATAAGGATCCTACTCTTTAGGGTACTATACTAGAGTCCCCTATTTTCGGAAACCCTCATATCACTCCAGATCTGGGAAACCCTAAACCCTAAACCCTAAACCCTAAACCCTAAACCCTAAACCCTAAACCCTAAACCCTAAAGATCTGGGAACCATCATCTCGAGCCGCAGGGCCTGCATCCTGTTGGGTCCTTTCCGGTCCGCTCTGCTGGGCTCCTGTTAAGGAGCTTAGTTTAAACTACCGTCATCTAGGGTTTAGGTTTAGGGTTTTGGGTTTAGGGTTACGGTTTAGGGTTTAGGGTTTAGGGTTTAGGGTTTAGGGTTTAGGGTTAGTAAATCGCATGCTTTCCTTATTGTGGCAAGCTAAACTAGCCCTTAAACCCTCAAGCATATGCCCTGTGTAGAAAGTGGATATTGAATACGGCTTCCTGATTATAGTAACTTAAGTCAACCCCGAACCCGAAACCTCAAGCCCTCAAGAAATAAGCACGGTGTCCTTAGTATGGTAACCTAGGTTGAGTTTTGGTAACTTAAGTTACCTAGACCTTCCAAAATCCTTTAGTGAAGGAGTTGGTAGCCTTATAGACCCCTTTACAGGAACCCTTAAAGGACCCCCAAACCCCTAAACCCTAAACCTTAAACCCCAGTCAAAGGAACCCTCAAAGGACTCCTAAACCCCAAACCCCAATTAAAGGAACCCTCAAAGGACCCTAAACCCCAATTCAAGGAACCCTCAAAGGACTCCTAAACCCCAATTCAAGGAACCCTCAAAGGACTCCTAAACCCTAAACCCCAATTCAAGGAACCCTCAAAAGACGCCTAAACCCTAAACCCCAATTCAAGGAACCCTCAAAGGACTCCCCTAATTAAAGGAACCTTCAAAGGCCCCCCCCCCCCTAATCAAAGGAACCCTCAAAGGACTCCCCTTCCCCAATTAATGAAAGGAACCCTGAAAGGCCTCCCCTAATTCAAGTCAAGGGACCCTCAACCCTAAACCCTAAGACCCTAAACCCTAAAGCCCTAAAACCCTTAGACCCTAAGCCCTAACCCTCAAAGGACTCCCCTAATTAAGGGAACCCTCAGAGGCCCCCCTAAACCAGGGCCCCCTGAACCAGGGCCCCTAAACCCTAAACCCTAAACCAGGGCCCAGTTTGAGGCGCGTGCCCCGCCGGCTCCGGGCCCGCCCCCGCCGCGGGCCGCTAGGGGCCCTAGCCGCGCGAAGCGCGCCAGGCCGATGTCTAAGCGGTTTAGGGCTTATAGGGTCTATAGGGTTTAGGGTTTAGGGTTTAGGGTTTAGGGTTTACAGGGTTTAGGGTTTAGGGTCTAGGGTCTAGGGTTTAGGGTTTAGGGTTCAGCATTTTTCAGGGTTTAGGT